AGAGTAGAGGTAGACATTATACCACAGTATATCCCCTACGGCGTATCAACTAGTATTCACACTACAGTAGCATGTTGACATCGCATTGTGAACCCCGATTTGGTATGGTGTGGGATATGGAGGTCCTCGACAGGCCCTACCTCGCTGTTTTCGAAGGGGTGCTATGTGTAGGAGGGAGCGCATCGTACTTAGTAGTATTACCCCCGTATACTCCGCTCTAGATGACTACTTTCTCCATCAAGCCGTATCTTGTTCTATATCTCCATCATGACCATAGATGGAAGCGTGGAGTAGACCCCTCTCATGCCCTTGAGTTCACCTTAGAGGACCGGCCCGACCGCCAAGTGGTACAGTGCGATCAAAAGTGGGTCATTCAAACTACCACACCAATAACCTCATCTCTCCTCCATGGGTTCAGTATGCTGCACTCAACTGCATTTTCTCAGTGGCCCGAGCCGTTCCTGTTTACAGCTAAAGTGCGATCCTTGAGTACCGCGCCCCACGAGAGGCTGAGTTGGTCAACTAGGGCGTACTCGGCGATAAATGCATCTAACTTGTTCTGTTCGCAGATCCTACATTGCGAACGAGGAAGGGGGTATGACGTATTCTGGGAGTTTGCTGCATCGAGAAGGACAGCATAGATACTACCCTGCAGACCCAACAGCTAGTTGCCCGACTAGGGTCTCGAAGATCAGAGATATAGGGATAGATGATGAGCAGTGTGGTAAAATATGGCTCATCCCGACCACACGTGTGCGTGAGGAAATGCGAAGCTGAGGAAGTATATCCCCACTGTGATGGTTGCAATCCAATCAGAAAGTCTTGCGAGTCCCGCGCAACATCACATATGCGCGCGCTGGGCCGAGCGCCATTGGTTTTGATGCGTGCGTGACGCGGATTTGCTCTTTCCCTTATTGCCGTGACGTCATGCAGCATCTCGTACAATAGACCATGGCGCCTTGAATCGCATTCAGACAAGCTCGACCCGGTCGAAGAAGCCTCAATGAGGCTTGTTGCACCACGACCACTATCATTGTAACATCGAAGACCTCATTTAAAGGTGTCTTTCAAAGGGCTTTGTTCCCAGGCCGAGGGTTTCGACCCTCACATTATAGAGTATTTTTATAGAAGACTTATAGGCTCGACCTGAGCCGTGTGGTAGGTTTGAATAGATTAGCCGTGTCGTCGACACGGTGTCGAGCTTCGAACCACCGTCACCTAGACGGTAGCACTCTTCGCTCACTGGACACGCTCCTACTCGGAAGTTTCCATCCTCTTGCTATGTCCTCCCGTGACATCTTGGAGTGCTTCTACTGCAACGTGAAAGACAGAGTCGATAACTTCAAAAAGAATAGGCATTTTGAAAGGCATCATGCCGGACGCCGGGAGCGTTATAAGCCCGTCGGGAACAACGTTTCCATCTTCGAATTTGCTGCTATAAGAAGGCGAGCCACCGAAGGCGATTCAGGAGGTGAGTCTATGCTTCACTCTCGGTGCAACAGGAACCAGTTACTAATCAGCTACGGAAGACGTGGATATGCTTGCAGTGGACGAAGTATGTCGCTCCTCATCTTCATCGGCGCTCATTCAAAGCGAGGGAGTGACGGATGGTGGAGCTTTTGAGAATCAAGAGCGAGATGGTCAGGAGAACGAACAGGTCCGAGCCCCGCGTGAAGTTGTGGCTGAGAAACGCGAGTCAGCAGAGGACCAGCAACCCGAGCTAGCTGAGGCTCAACAACCTGAGCCGGTCGAGGCATTTCCGGTCTTCAACGTTCCTACATCAACTAACGGACTTTTGCGCACACAGTCTGCTACTCTGAGGATGCACAGTGAGATGCTTGAGGACATCAAGGCCAAGCTGGTTGAGCACTTAAAATTTGATCGTGAGGCGAAGGACAAGCTCGAGCTCAAGAGAGAGGTGTCGACCCTTGGTCCATTCAAGGTGAACGACGCATTCCAAGTGGTTGAATGCACGACTTGTTATACTTACAAATACTCTCTGCAGCCTCGGGATCGCCCTGGAGGCCTCGAGAGGATTGGTGTCTTTCAATGTCCTGATGCCCTCGATTCAGCTCGCCGTAGAGACTTACTCTCAGCCCTTCGTGATCACTTGAAAACTTCGACACATCTCAAATGCTTGGCACTCGCGGATACAAAGCAGAAGGCCAGAGACCGTGCGATGGATCTCGCAGTGGCCAGATGTGTATATTTCTCGGTGGTTGAGAATATGAGCGGCCGTGGTTATGAGAGATTACTCGCTCTCAACGCAGTTAATGGTGTGAAAATCGGTGACATGGGGCATTCTCGTAATTCTTTCCGACCTCTATTCATCCAAACTATGATCAAAGAAATGAAGGGGCGTATACGCGCATTATTTACTCGCTCTTGGTTATGCTTCGGCAACAGACCCTCGCCTATGGCTGCGTCTTGTGATAAAGTAACTATTCGTCGTCGAACTCTGCAGCCCGTAGCCGTCTTTACTCTAGTCAATGGCCGTATTTCGTGCTACCTTTTGAGTGCTCCCATTGCTTCGGATAAGAGTGGTAAGGGCTTAGCCGACCTTGTGGTGCGAACATTGGAAGACGTCTTCGATAAATCCTTCCTGCAGAATTTTTTAACAGCGGTCGCGACTGATGGGGAGTACCACAATCTGCGTCTGGGTGATAAATTGCGGGCCAACCTCGACATTGACCCTACTACACTCGTCCATACATGGTGTGTGGCGCATAGGCTGGAGCTCGCTTGTAATGATGCGAGTAAAGGCATTACTAATGTCCGAGCTGAACTTCACCAGCACATGCCAGCGAGGCATGGGCAGGCATTCGAGGCGCTAGAGCAGGCATCCTTTGAGACCGGGGTCCCTTATTTTGTGCCTTTAGCTTTCATGCCTACGCGATGGGCGAGCTCTGAGACTCGTGTCTACGAGAACTTCTCACGTAATTACCCACTGCTCGTTCATATGGGAGAGCCTGGGATAACACGATGTGACTGGATGGTAAAATTCCTAGTGGCCTACGATACGATGAAGCACGTGAGCCAGGCTTCGGGTTGCTCTCAACAAGTTTTCGCTCGACCATGGCAAACAGCGGCTGCTATACAAGCCTTAAGAGACTCTCTGATTGTCGGGATAGCGGCATTGGAAATGCTAATCGATGCCATGGAGGAATCCACGTGTATATCTGAGGTACGGTACCTCAGATATACACGGGGACTTTTCAGTACTTCAGGTACCCAAGGGACTTTTTGACATAGAATGCTTCCCCCCGTTATATGCCGTTGATTTCACTGGAGATCCTCACTGGAATGAAGTTGACCTTGAGAAGGTGTCTGACTCGAGAATGGTACATGCATTTCAATTCATGGTGTCGTGGCTCTCACAACTCAAGGAGAGCCTTAATATCCGTATCCTGTCTGATCTTCCAGAATGGCTCGTTGCTGCTTCGCAGATCTTCAGTGGCGAGGCTCTTCTCGGCAGCTCGTGGGTGTCCGAGCTCTCAGACGCTGATAGAAAACTGGATACTAACAAGTCTCCGGAGGTTTATCAATGCACAAGTACGGCGGAGTTAATTGAGATTGCAGGAGCTTCGATTATCCATAGAGAGGTGTATGCTCTGGATATTGAGGAGTTGACTTCGGAGTTCGCCATTTTCATTGATCGTATCCGCTCTATGGACTGGCCGAAGGCCGCTAATGGAAAGATAGACGTGCCTCAAGTATGGGAAATGCTCCACTGTCGTCCTCATTACATTGGGATACAAAATATACTCTACCTCGCTGGATGTTTATCTATGCGAACATACAATGAATCGGTGGTGGAGGCTATGTGTAGCCTCCTCAACACCACCGATCCCACCGGTAGGCGTCACTTGAGTCATGAAGTCATATCCGACGAAGGAATCATAGCTTGGAATAGACTTGGTATGTCTGGTGACGCTCTCGACGGGTTCCTCGAAGCCTCGCTCGCGAGGATGCCGGAAGGCTTCAGCGGCTTTACCCGCAAGACCAACAAAAGAGCTCAACGTCGGCAGAAGTCTTACACCTACTCACAAGTCATCGATAGAGTGTGTTCAGTGAATCCCCATCCAGAGCTTTCGTGCGTTAAGGCCGAAGACCGCACGAGGATAGAAGAGGGTGCAGGCGGAAAGCCGGGGCGCCTCGGCTCGGGCCCTTGCAGCCCACGTCGTGCCACAGATTCTCCGGAATCCTCGGATTCTGATGATTGGTAGTCTTTCGAATACCGAGTTAGCTCTAGACGCGATTCTCACGTAGAAGGTCGTAGGCTACGAGCAACTCGTTTCGTTTATGTAGATCACATGATATAGATTTTGGTGTTAGCACATGGTTGTAGAGAGTGTGAGGACTTGAAATGTTAGATTTTTCTAGTCAACTCATTATCGCAACTCAATGTTGAACGCGACTTCGGAGTTTTTGACTAACATGATCGGTGTTGTCAATAGCAGGTGAGGAAGCAAAATCCAGGAGCCTATTTCATAGGACACTTTACATCAGAGCGTCCATGAAACTCAAAGACGTCCTGATGTAAGGCGTCCTATGAAATAGGTTCCAGAATGAAAAATAAGATCAGAGGCTTGAGAATTTCCGAACCTAATGAGGAATCTTTCGTACCGCCTGGGGCTGAGGAAGCCTCGAGAGCCACGTCGCCCAAGGAAGGGGGCCCTATTTTACCACACTGATGATGAGTGGAGCGGGTTGGGTAGGTTCATAATCTTTCAAATTTGTATGCCGTCGAAAATATCGCGCGCGCCATATTGATCGACACAGGTCGACGTGCTGAAGTGCAGTGGGTGTGGGTACACGAGCTGAGCTTGGAAGACTGACTATCGTTGATTGGTATAACAGGGAGAGATTTATGATGACCAACAGCGATGGCTTCAAACTCAAGGTGAGTCACGGAGGGGCAACTTACTAATAGTAAGTTACTATGCAGGGCGGCTAGTCGGCGAAAATCTCCAGTAAAATCGGGTGTAATCCATGCGTTTCTGATCACGTATGGCGTTGTGTGCTATGTATTTGATTCGAGCTGCTGTGAGTATGTTGTTTGGATGCTCCCTAATAGTCGGACGAGACTGTTGCCTGGATCGGGGAGTGGCATCACAGAACAGTTCTTGGCTAG